CGCAGGATTTCAGTAATTTCCATTTTTTCATTCTTTAATTTTTACTCAATAAATTTGTTAATAAAATCCTCTTCTTTCAAATGTTACACAAAATATCTACAACAAAATACAGCTTCTAAATTATTAACGGCAGTTAATTTATGCAAGAAAAATATCTACATTTTCTGTCAACTTATATGTATTCATATCACAAAAATTACAAGATATTAATTTAATTACTCATGTTCCGAAAATTTCAGCATTCTCGATTTACCTACATATATGGCAATGCGAGTTTAATATTTTAAAAAATGGGAAATAGAGGATTCTGTCTAATAAATTCCCGGCTCCTTTTTCTCTTTTAACCTGCGATGTTTATAAAATTCAACTCGAAATTTAAAAATTTTTTCTTTAATCTAATATTCTAAAGTTAATATCATCCTATATATTCTTCGATTGATCTTTCTATTTTATAACCTCTGTGGAGGCCACTCAAAATACAAAAAAATAATAAAAATAAAATAATATAAATCGTCTCAAACAAAAGTAAGGTCCTTAAAAAGTGGGAAAATCTTCCAGAAAAATTATTTAAAAAGCCCTCTTTGGATTTTTCATAAAAAAAGACATTATAAGTTGCGGGTTTCATTTTAGAATTTTTTCTAAAACCTGGAGCCCCTCTCAAACTGACAAATATTCTAAGAAACAGCCTTATGGCTCATCTATGTATATTGTTTCATTCTTTCGATTTCTTTACATATATATATTTATCTACCATATCATCTCAAATCCACTTTCTTATTTCTTTGTTTATAAATTCAAATCGTTTATAATTTTTTCGGGGTCAGTTCACAGTATTAGTCTCGCGAGAAATTCCCTTAAAATGATGTGAAAGATAAGTTATCAAAAAAGCCATGGCCTCAAAAATAATAGTAAACTGATCAAATAAACCCATTGCAAACAAAAAAATTTAAATCGATATCGATATTTTGTTTACTTATGAAACAAATCGAAATAAGAAGGCAAGAAACAGTTTCTCAGAACACGGATTAAGCTCCATAAATAAAAGAAATTTTTTTCTGACAATAAACTTAGGTTGAAGTTTAAAATTTATTGTTTGATTTGAGTTTAATATTAGACTTCTGTCACAAAATTTTTTTTTGAGAAGGGAACACGGAAGTCCAACAATAGTTCGATTCAACAATAATACTTAAGAAAAGTAAATGGAACGAGTAAAATCCTGTTAGTTAAACTACATAAAAAATACAAAACGTACATTAAGGCAATACTTAGACAAAAAAAATAAATAGCCTATAACCTGCGGGTTTCATTTAAAGTTCTCAAATTCTACACATTAAATTTTTATTTTTCATATATTTTTTGGTTTAAGTAATATTCTGAATTATAAGACAGTGTAACGATTAGCCATGTTTTGTCTTAATTTTTGTTCACTTTAAATGAATATTTATTTTCAGTCAAAATAATTATTACTTTTCCTTTTTTTCTCATTTTTGAATAAATTTGTTCAATCTAAGAATTAAATTTAATGACTTAATTAGCCTCACTTTTTTTCAAAAAAATTTTTAAGTTATGTAAATTGTTTGACCTCTTATTTATTAAATATTCATGTAAATCTTTTTCTATAAGAATATTTATGTAAAGAAAATTCTCTTATTTCCAGTCTTATATTCGAAATCTAGCGTTATTCTTTACTTTTCGATTAGAAAGTATCTTATAATTTTTTTTTCAGTGAAAACTAATTATTATAACTCCTGAGGGAGCCATTAATGATATTGGTAATAAATATTGTGCAAAATAAATAAAATTGTGCAAAAATACAAAAACAATTAAACAAAGCTGGAAAATCTCTCCAGAAAATAATAATGTTAGAGTTATTATATAAAAAAAGGGATAAATGGATCTGGAAAACGGATCAGATTTAAATCTTGGTATGGAACAAAAATCGGACTAGGTCATGAGCCAGAATAATAATAAGTTAGTCCGGATTCAGGTCTTACAAAGTATCCCAAATTTTATCAAATTTTACCAAATTTTATCCAAATTATCTAACGGAAAACGTAGTCTTTCATGACCTGCGGGTTTCTTTAGAATAAAAATAAGTTAAGAAAGGCAAATGAGTTTAGACATAGTATCCACTTTAAGTTAATCTGTCATTACTCTACAGAGGCAAAGCAAAAAAAATTTCAAAACATAACTTATGCGGGGGCCTCAAAAAAAATTGAAAAAAAATTTTCTCAAAGCACGGATTTGTGGTTACATAAGAAATTAAAATGAAAAATTCTTTTTTTATCGCATGCTCCAAAATTTTAATTCTCATGAGCTAGATAAATTTTTCCACTATAATACAAAATTTTTTCCAAGATCAGTTGTTGTCTATAAATTATTTACAGAAAATTTACAAAAATACATGAAAAGATCCGCTCCCACAAAAAGCTTAATAACCTGCAGGTTTCATTATAATTTTAAAATCTGATCAGAACTGAAATCTTTTATTTTCTCCCTCATCCTAAATTTTATTTTTTCAGTACGATTTTTGTTATTTTTTCCTGCTCTAAGTACTCACTTTTATGAAATTTTCATAAAATAAAGCTATATACTTTTTCATTTTTTCTATCTGTTCACTCAATCAAAAATGTACATTTCCAGAAAATTTACAAAAACGGATTTGTGGTTACATAAAAAGCAAAGCCTAAACCCCGAGGGGTTCAATTGAATAATAATTAAAATTATATGAACGCTAATAATACGATTCGCTATACATGATGCATGCGTCTAAATATCTTAAGTTCTTTCATTAACTCAAAAATAAAATCCAAAATCAAAAAAAATACTGGCTCACTTCACAAAATTAAATCCTTTTTATCATTCAAATGCTCACTACGCCTAACGCTTTAATTCTAACAAAAATTGATCTTAACAAAAACCATATGAGCCTTCTGTTTCAGCTTCCACACAAAAATTATAGTCTTAAATCTTCCAATCTGCGCTGCGTCTAACGCTTTAGAATTTCATCTTGCGGCAGAATTCATTAATACAAACCCTGAGGGGTTCATTAAAGATAAATAAAATAAAAAGCTGACAAAAAAAAACCGAAAAACCTATCAAAATATGGACCAATCCAGAGACTTGAAATATAACCTGAGGCACAAATTAACCTTTCAATGCCTCAATTAACCGCTAAATTAGTGGTTATACGGATTAGGTGTAACAGCAACAGTAAATTTCAAAATCGAAAATTGCCCCGAGGGTTCCTCTCTCTGTCGGTAACAAGTAATTTTGGGGAGCGATCTTTTTGCTAGAATCCCACCTACAACTCTTGATTTTCACAACTAAATCTTAAGATCGGAAACCTAATCCCATGGAACCAAATAAGCAAAAATCGATATGCTTAAAATTCAGAGAAAGAAATACTAATAGAAAATCCTGGCTCCCGCTTTGAGGTTCAGAACTCTGTACCATTCCTACAGTATCAAAACCCATCAATAATGAAATAAACCTTATAATTTGTAATGTTCTGCGGGACTCAATAATTAAAACCAGAGTTGAAGTAGAACCGACATTTAAAATTAACTTTGACGAATCTTCAGTATTAGAGAAAATCTTTGCAAAAAAAAACAAACTAATATTTTACAAAAAAATATATCCTGAGGGATTCATTTAATATAAAACAAAATATAAAAGTGGACCAGGGACGGTCCATTGGAAGGTTAGAGGTGTAGAGGATGGTCAAATCTTAACGACCAGGGACGGTCTATTGGAAGGTTAGAGGTGTAAGGCGGATATCATCCTGAAAACACGTGAAGAGCAATGTCGCTCTAGTTAACGGAAGTTTGCAGGAAGGTGCAAAGAATATTACAAACGGCCATTCCCAGAGCGTTATTAGCCGCCTATTATCTAAGTTTATTATCGCCACTAACTTATCCTTGGGAAAGCAATAAGGAAGTAGGCTGGTGCATATAAGCTCTAATGGAATAGGCTAAGGCGGATCACTTCTTCATTCATTCAACAGAGTTGCCGGCCGGCCAATCCATCGAGTCTATAGGGAAGAGCTCTCCCTATATTCCCCTACTGCGTGCGATTCACCTATTTCTATACTCTGCGGAGTTCACACATGATTGCAACATGCGCGGCTCTGCTAATAACATCTACAATACAACAAGGCACTGGGGAACGGGACCAACCGCTTTACTATATCCAAGAATTTCTTCTTTGCCCGATTTGGATGTTAATTGTTTTAAATTGGAAATTTGGTTAAAATTAAAAGAAATTCAATTTTATGTTTGTTTTATTTTTAAAATAAATAAATGGAGATTTTGTTTTGTCTAATTAATTTAGTGTTATTCGACTCATCTCGAAGATCTGAGTCGAATGATAATTAATCATAAAAAAAGAAAGAAGAAAAAGGGAGGGGGGGGGGTATCAGACAAAGTATTGGCGCTGTTTTCTCCAACTGGCGCTGTTTCCCGCTAGTAGGGCTTAGTCTACGGCCCTGAAATTGTGTCTACTCTTAACGTAAGTAAACAAGCAATCCAATCGAGAAAAAATTATTGAAATAATTATTTTTCAATTGAATTAGAATGATAAGATTAACGAAATTTTTTTGAAAAAAAGCAAATATTTAATTTAAATAACTATTTTTTAGAGAATTAATAACCAATTTAAACTTGGTTCTCCTCAAAATGGCCAAGTTCCATTTATTCAATTTAATGGAGATTTTATTGAAGGAATGGAAAATATTATAAATAAATTAAAACATTTAGGAAAACCTTTAGCCGAAAATGAAAATGAAAAAAAGGTTGAAGAAATTGTTGATAATATATTATTTCCGTATGTTTTTCCCTTTGATAAAATTTTTGTTTTAGAATTTTAATAAAAGACAGAACAACTAGAGATTTAAAACGAAATGGAGGAGTTGATTTTTTAGCAAAAGATAAAGGTATACATCAACAATTGTTGCCTAAATTGGAAGAACTTTATAAGAAACCCCAAATAATTGAAATTAATGACAATGAAGCTTTTCTGGTTAAAATGGATGAACAATTTTGGAATGAACTTTTTTGTTTGGAAAAAGGAATTGAAAAACACGAAAAGGATGATAAGGATATTAAATTATTTTTTGATAAATATATTGATAAATTAGTAAAAGGGGGGAATAAACAAATATTTGATTTGAAGTATTGGAGTGTTTTTATTGATAAAAAGAATGAATGGATTGAAAATATTGTTAAAAAATATTTTATTGAAGGAGAAAATAATTTTGAAAATATGGTTGGAATTTAATTATTTTTACTTTAAAATTTTTATTTTTTTAGTTAATTCAACAAATTTCTTCCAATAGAAAAATTAAAACAATTAATAAAGTTATCAAAAATTTTGATAAAAATTTATCTTTAATTGGAGAAATGATTGTTGGAAATTATTTTATTTTTGGAGAAGAACCTACAAATGTTTGTTTATATCAGTGTTAAACGGTCTTGAAATAATTATACCGTTTCTGATACCAATACTGTCTTAGAATTATTAACCGGTATCGGGATTCAAAGACTTATAGTATAATACAGCCTGATACCGTTTAACCCTAGTTTGTATTTACAAAAATTTAAAACATAAAAATATTTTTTTCAGGCAGATATTTGTTTATTTGCTGTATTAATTCAATTCTTTGAAGATCCTGCTATTTTGAATATTCCACAACTTGCTTACTTTTTCCGATTAAAAGGATCTTCAAATAATGTTGGAAGTACTAGTCAAGTTTATAACCAAAAAGGAAAAGGTAAAGAAATTATTCCGAATGAAGAGGATGACATTATTGAAGAGGTAAAAGAAGAAAAAGAAATTGTTGAGAATAAAGGACTTATAATTGAATTTGAAGATGATAGAATTAATATTTTATTTAATTTTGTACAAAATATGAAAAGAAAATTAGGTTTTAATGAAGAAAGTGATTGGCAGAATTCGAGAGAATCTCCGTGGGAATTGAATTACGAACCTGAGGATTTTTCACAGAAAAGATATATTGGTTTGATTTTAAAAATTGGGACGATTTTTTAATTTGATTTATTTAAACATTAATTCCAAAATTAAAATTAGAAGTTTTATTCAATTTTCGATTATAATCCTTTCAATTTCCTTAAATTTTTTTAAATTTTTAGGTCCATTCCAACTCGAAACAGATGAATTACTTGGAATAAATAAATTAATTGGTTACAATAAATGGTCAGAAATTTGGTCATTAATTATTGGAAAAAATGAATATTTAAAGAAGAAAAATGGCAATTTATGGAAAAAAATTAGAAAAACATTTAAAGGAAAATTAAAACCTTCGGAAGAAGATTTTAACGAATTAACACGAAAAATTATAGGAAAAATTTATGAATTTATAAATGTTCATTTTACTTTAAAATTAGAATTTGATTATTTTGGAAAAATTTCTTTTAATTTTTTGGCTAGTTATATTTGCAATATTGGAAGGGAATATTCAATTGAGGATGGAGATGAATGCTATAATAAATATATTAAAAAATTTAAAAATCAAAAAAAGATATTTTGGTCGATTATGAGAGAGACTTACATTGGACCATTTGAATTTAAAAAAGCAAAAAATCTTAAAAAAGATTTTTTGAACAATGTAGAGACATTATGTAGTGAAGTAATTAAAATAGTTAATAATACTGTTGAGGAAATTAATTCTGAAAAAATTAATGGAAATGTTCGAAATGCAATAATTATAGCAGAAGAGAAAGAAACAATAAAAGATTAAAATATCCATTTTATTTTTAATTTATGTTGACTTTCCCTCCTTTTGCTTCCATTCCTTTTAAGAATTCCTTTCAAGACTTCGAAATTTAATTAACAAGTAGTAAAAACAAAATTAAGTAAAAAATGGGTTTATATTAGAAATAAGTTTCGATTAAAGCATTTAGGCATTAAATAATTGTGATATAATTTTTCGGATTGAGATATAATCCGAAAAATTCCTCAAAATTTCGGATTGAGGAATTTTAGAAACGTATGTGAAATATTTGCTAAATTGAACGTTCCAAATTTATTAAGGGTAGAAAATGGTACAAAAAAATCTATTCATAAATGGATAATATAAATCTAAAGCTATTTAATTACATATTATTTGATCGCAATATTTTTTATTGTAAAGCAGATAGCTTTTTAATTCCTTTCATTTAATTCTTCGATGGTGTAAGAATTAATAATTCCTACATCAGTCCGGTTAACTGAAGAAAGAATAAGTAAATATAGCCTATCTCTGCTTTACTATATTTTAATTACAATTACATACATATTTGTTTGTAAATTTTGCCTAAGTAATTCTTTTGATTAAAAATGATTCTGTAAGAATTAATTAAAATTTATATTTAAAATTTATAATTCGTTTTATATACACTTCATATTTAAATATTGCCCTTTTCTTTAACTTGTTGTTTTAAACTGTTATAACTGTTTTAACTTGTTGCTATAACTTCCTTCTGTCCTGTATAAAATTTCCTACCCTCTCCAATATTATTCGCATTCATACCTATTCCTAAAAGAAGGAAATATTTTCCTATTTGTAAATAAAAATAAAGGATCAATTTTCTTATTGATTACATATTATGCCCTTAATTCCAAAAATTATCGTTCCTAGTTATGTATAAACTTAATTATTGTAGTTGATTAATTATTGTAATTATCCTTAATTATTGTAGTTGTCCTCTTTAATTTAAATTAAAATACTTGTTGCCATTGACCGGATTTTCTTAAATAACATTTAAATACCTCGAACGAAGCCGTTTAAAATTTCGATTTTGAGAATTTAGGATATTTTCAGTGTTCGCAGATTTTTGTTTCGAAACAGCTCTGACCTCAAATTAATGCACAAATAATAAAAAATAAAAATCCCGTTAAATTACATTCTATTTTTAAAAAGTTAGTAAATAGAAATAAAGGTGATTAGTTTTTTTAAATATTAATGTATTTAGAAATTTTTTCATCATCAAATCAATTTTTAAATTTATCTCTTAAATTTTTATTTTCCAAAATTTTCAGATATTCTTTTTCGTAAATTCATTAAATTCTCTCAAAATGTCTAATGAATCAGTAAATTTCGATTTAAAATTAAAGGTATAAAAATAAAAACTACTAATCTAAATAAATATTTTTAATTAAAGAAAAAGATGATTAAACAAATGAATATGTATAATGGGAGAAATTAATTGGCAACTTAAAGTGGAAGTCGGGGAATTAGAAAATAAAAATTTAATTCTTGAAAAACAAGCTAAGGAGGTATAGTATTTTTAAATATTTTTTGTTGTCGGGGATTTTAAAAGTTTTGTTTGATTTTATTAGATTATTACTTAATTTTAATTTATTTTTAAAAGGCTAATGAAAACAACGAAGAACTAAATAAAACAATTAATAAATTACTTGTTGAATTAGAAAAATCAAAAAAGGAAAATAATTTGGTAAAAAATTTATAATTAAAATTAAATTGAATTTATTAAAGCTTAACAAAGCAAATATTACACTCAACAAAAGAATCACTAAATTAAGCTGTGAATTGGAGCGATCAAATAAACGAACGGTAATAAATACCTACATATATAATCTTTTATAAATATTTATTTTATTTCTCTCCTTTCAATAATTTTTTTAGAATTTTGTAAAGCTTCTAAATGGTTGGAAATTAGTTGAAAACATTAATCCTTGCTGTAACAAAAAATGTGAGAAAAAATATAGTGGTCGTTGTATTCAAGGAAATGGATGTATTCGAGTTTTGTCAAATGGGAAATTAAAATATAATAAACGAATAGATGATAAAGGTAGGGGAATTCATAGGAAAAATTTTTAAGGAAAGATTTAAAAAATACAAAAGTTGATTCAACTATTCAAGTTGTGCTTAGTAATCCTCTGAGATGGGACATACATATCAAAGGGATATGACATATCAAAGCTTTTGTCAAATTTTTAAAAATTATTTTATCAAATTCGAATACTTTTTTCACTAAAAATTATTTCGAAATAATAAAGTTTAATTTAAACAATACAGTGTACTGTCCTATAATACCTTGGGTTATCCTTATATGTACATGTAGTGCCTTCGAATTTGATCGAATATTTATCATATTTTACTCCCCACCATTACTCCCCATCATTCGTTATTTAGATATTTTTCAAAAAAATTTTTAATAAATTATTTTTATTTAAATTTAGGTGTAAATAAATATTCACGTGTTGAGGCAGTAAACTCGTTTAATAAATTAAATAATGATGCCATTACTTATTCTTTATTTTATTATGAAATTAAATGTTTTATTGAACCTGAGAAAAATTCTAATGAAAATTGGATGGCTTTTGGTCTTAGAAATAATAATTATTATATTGAATTATGGACACACAAATCTTTAATTAAAAATATATTAAATAATGAAGAGAACGAATTTAAATTAAATAAATTTATTTGGAATGTCGCATCCTGCGAATTACTCATTTAATTAAACTTATGAAATTACGAAATCTGTTAATCACTGAAATTCTTTATTCACTTTCTCACACAAACTTATTACAAAATACTTTCCTGTAAATCAACCGCTATAAAAATAGCTGGCTTTTCCCCCGTTTTATCTATCTCAGCGGTCATTAAGCTCTCTTTGGATCACAATCTGTCCCTTTTATTATAAAAATATTATGCTTTTTCCCTTGTTAAATTAATTGTAGTTTTCATTGCGAAATAAATAAATTATTAAACGTTGTATTAATTAATTAGGAGTCCCGAAATTATAGGACCATTTCCTACAGCTCAGCCGGTTCGAAAACCCGAAAAATGTCAGCACCTTTCCGCAATGCATTGCGGCTCCTCGCCGAGGACGCTACCGAAATTTTAAATAATAAAAAAGAATTTAATCTCCCCGATCAAACAGGTAGCATTTCCCTCCACCGTGCAAATATTCGCTCCCTCATCACATCCCTCGAATTAGAATTAGGGAATGTTTCAGAAACAATCACAGATATAACCACAGCCCATGAAAGATGGTTGACCGTCCGAACAAGTATGACAGGTGCAGAGCGCCAAGCAGACACCCCCATATATGAAGCATTTACTACAGAAACCCCATTCCTTAATATACTCAGAGATTTAAAAAGATATTCCCGTAAACTCCTTTCCGAAAAAGCTAAATTAACAGAAGCTCTTCCCGACCCCTCCCAAATTACAAATACACATTTCCATCTCCCGAAGCTCTCACTCCCCAAATTTAGCGGAAAATGTGTTGAATTTACTTCCTTTTGGAACTCATTTAAAGTTGGTGTCCACGACATTCCAGATCTTTCCGATGCCGTTAAATTTAATTATCTCAAGGAATGTTTAGATGGACCCGCATATTTACTGATAAAATCCCTTCCTTTAACCAATGCTTCTTATCATGAGGCAATCCGACTTCTAAGAGAAAATTATGGAAATTCCGATGAAATAAATAGGACCCTTCTCCATTCAATAAGAAAATTGCCTACAGTACATTCAAATAATGGTCCCGAAAATCTTTGTATGGAACTACGATCATTCGTAGACAAATTTGAATTATTATATTTACAAATGATTGAACAGGAATTTGATATCAACACGCTTTCCATCCAAATGGAATTAGAATCGAAACTCCCACCTCCTATTCTTGAAGAAATATTTAAAGCTAAGGAAGAAAATGGAGCAAACTGGCAGACCGATCAATTACGGACAACATTAAAACAAATACTGAAAAGAAAGGAAGGAATAAAAGCTCTAGACGACCAAAAGAATGAGCTAAACGAGCAGATAAGTCACCCTTGTACTCCAAAATCACCCCGACCCGTTAGACAGACTAGCCCACCTAACACACCACAATCCTCCCTAACATTTCATACATCTCAACAAAACAATAAAACAGGGAGGTTTAGATTCCCCTGTATTTTCTGTAACCAACCCGACCATTTATCCCACCATTGCTCTAACTATAATTCAATCCATTCTCGAAAATCCCGCTTATATGAGAAAAATTTATGTTTTAATTGTTATAAGCCCAACCATATTTCGAGGAGTTGTCAAAGACCAATTACTTGTTCCCATTGTAATAACTTACATCCCAGAGCACTTTGCTCGAAATTATTTAATCCACAAATTAATGAACCCTGTATAGATGAAGATTATAATGAAGAAACCATTATATCCCCACAAGAAATTCCCAAGCAACATACAATTAATCACTCACAAATAATGCCAATTACACCCCCACCTATAGCTCCAATCCCTTTATCGTTAATAAAATTGCCGGATAAATTTTATACCGCCAAGTACTTTAATAATTCCTCAAAAACCGAAACCAAATCAGGCCACTTAAATAAAAAAGGCGAAAGTAAATCCTTAATGCCCGAAGAGTCACGATTAATCTATAGCTCAATTAAAATTTGCCCAAAAATAGACGACAATCAAAATCAATTACTTAGCCCCGATCCTATTAAAAATCCCATGAGTCCCATTCCTCCAAATATAATTAATCAAAAACACGGTCCACTGAAGACCATTGAAAATAATAAGTTAGAAATAAAAATTTCAGTTCCCACAGATAATGTGCCTAGAAGAAAAGGACTAATTAAATCTTCAGGCCCCCCAGGTGATGTTCCATCAGACAAATCTCCACGTCCGACTTCCCCCACAACAGAATTGGACTCTCATGATCTACCCACTTCCCCGCCTGTTGCTACTGACAAACATCAAACACAAAATATTCCGACTACAAA